TGATCATGGGCCTCCACTTTGCTGGCAAGAAGGCATCTGGGGCTTGGGATGGTGGTTTGCTTGAAGTTGTGAGGAGTAGCCGTAGCAGTAGTAGTAGTAGTAGTAGTAGTAGTAGTAGTAGTAGTAGCAGTCGTCGTCATCATCATCATGTCAGGTGGTGATGGTGCGCATGGTTACTGCCCGTCAGAGCTTATGTTTCTCGTGGTGACAATGGACTAAAGAGATTGCCAGCTGTCACCATGTTGTACGGCAGTCCCGGCAGCTGTCATCGTGCAGCAATTAGAGCAGTCGTAGTAGTAGTTGATGCCGTCGAGCCTGTAGACTTGTACATTGTAAAATCGTGTAAACAGACCCGAATGTGAGTTGAAAGCACCAGGACGCGGAAACCTCCTCCAGGCTGGGTCTTGTGTTTGATTGCAAGATTCGAAGTAGGATCCCTGCTGCGCTCAAACAGGGCTCCGGCTCTGGAGACTTCCTGGGCGGGGGTATGCCAGGCAGGTCGCCGAGACGCCCGGAGAGTGCTCTTCGGTGTTTTGCATCTTCGGCTTCCGCCAGGTCTTGGTCTGCCTGGCAGAGTCATCGCCTCAAAGCGGTCTGCACATCGAGAAGATCCAAACCTTGGGTAGTCCGTGGAGCTCCGAGGATGTCGGCTCTGGCGACGGGAGCTTAGCAACAGAGCACGGCCGGCGGGAGACATCGGGCTGCCTTCGATGCATGAGCTGTCGTCACTTCTGGCCTAGGCCATGTCGTCATTGGCAGCCTTGCGCCCGAAGTCCAAAGCGAGGCAAAGCACCTGTTCCGGGGAACCACGTGCAGGATTCATTGATTTTCGAAAATCCTTCTGCCCTCTCGCATTGCGAGCATCACAAGATGCCTGTGATACCGTGGCAGCCTGGTTGGTTGATGCATACGGGTACATCCAGCAGGCAGAAGGCAGACAGTGAAAGCAGGAGGCTCAGCAGGGCTAGGACGAGAGTGGTGAGGACGGAAGGACGCCGCGAAGGAGGAGGACGAGGACGAAGAGGACGAGGAGAAACATGAGCACCGATGATGATGATGGTGATGGTGATGATGATGATGATGATGATGATGATGCCGGAGGAGGAGGAGGAGGAGGAGGACATCTGCAAAAGGAGGAGGTGGTGATGATGATCATCACTGCCATCATGTGCGGTGAGGATCATGAGAGACTGAGGAGGAGGGATCATGAGGATGAGCGTCACTCGTGACGTCATGGCAAAGCAGGTCAGGACTCCTCATCAACGCAATCGTTTCTGACAACGAGGGAGGAAAGCGAAAGATCCCCATGGCAAGCACTCCTAGAAAGGATACCCCGAATTGCCTGAAGCCCGCCCACACAAGCACATGGGTAGTTCTAAAAATTCGGCTGCCTCTTCAGCTCCCCAACAATAATATAGTACGGCACCCTTATAAAAAGGACAAAAAAGGACCCCCAAAGGGCCCCTCATTTAGAGAACTACCCACATGAAAAGGCCGAAGATCGGCTCTCTGCCCGGTGGTCCCATCGACTGGAGCCAGAGGGAGGACTTCAGATGAGCCGGGTGAGACCAGAATCGACTTGGGTAGTTGTCAAAATGGGAGTTTCCGAAAATTAGGGTACCTTATTTTGGGGTCCTTATAATAGGGATCCTATTATTTAGGGTACTATATTAGGGTCCCTATTTTCGGAAACCCCCAAATGATGGACCCTTTTTGGGGTACCCTAGATAATTGGTGCCGTATTATAATAAGGACCCAAACAGGGACCATAATTTTGACAACCACCCACTTGGTCGGTGCTAAACAACATCCTGTCATGGAAACACACAAGCCTCTGAAGAAGGGCTTAGAGGCGTAGATTGAAGGGAATGGGGGTCCATGGCATGCAAACGTCGGCATCCGGGGACAGAGACGATCATACTGCACCGCGGTTTATGCTCTCCGTTGGGTAGGAAGTGCAGCTGCGGAACAAAGTCAATGGATCGGCCAAGCTGTCATAAAGCAGTTACAGAAAAATTCAGAATTGACCCGCGGGTCCATGCACATGCGATGTCACACGACCCCTGTCGATCGCTTGGAATCAAAACACCCGGAGCAGCACACTGCAAGCATGGATAAGCTGTGGTACCCTGTCTGTTCTCGCAGGCCCTCGAACCTAGCCCGTAGCAGATCTTGTAGCCAGGGTATTGCTCTGATTTGCTCAGTGTTGAATCGAAGGTCCTTGGCCCTTTGTCTTTACCGCAGCCGGCTGCGGCTCGTAGCTGATAGGATGAAGCGGCCAAGCGCTGCCAAAGCTCCCAGGGTGTCTGGGACGAGTTGGGACTTTCCGAAAATAGGGGGTACCTTATTTTGGGTCCTTATTATAAGGATCCTATTATTTAGGGTACTATATTAGGGTCCCCTATTTTCGGGAACCCTCAGTTGGTGTTTCCGCTGTGGGGTCGTTGAATGCGACACGTTGTTCTGAGGACGACGTGTCATTGGGATGCGTTGTTCGGATGATGTTGTGTCATTGGGAACTTGCTGGTATTCGCTTGTCCTTGGGGTTCAGGCCTGAGGAGCTCGGAAGAGCGAGAGCTCTGAGCACTTTAAGTAGCCACAGCCCAGAGCAGCCGTTCCAGCGTGTTGGTTTATTGGGTTGTGGTTTTGGGTGGCGAGCAGATCATCCGAGCAGATCATCCTTCGGAGAAATAGCGACAGGCTGGGGCGAAATATTGAAGCGGTTTGGCAAGTCTAAGTTTGGTTTGTTTAACCGCATGATCCGTATTTACTAAATAGCAGCGCCAAACATAGCAGCCACAATGATCGTGCCACCAGTGTCGTCACTAGAAGCGACAGTGCTCAGATTCAGCGTGATTCGTGCAACGTCGCTTTTCCTGATTGCCCGGACAGGTCATGACGCTTTACGAGAGTTTCTTGGCTACAGTTTCTCCTGATGGAAAGCCATGGCAGAGTTCGGTTCAGTAGCCGCCTCAGGATTCAAAGAAGCTTTTCAAGAAAGATGTCAAGCTGCTACCAAGGACTGCTTCTTGAAGACATGAGCGCAGTGTTCAAAGCATGCAAGCGCTAGAAATCGTGGGGGAGAGAGCTCAGAGAGGGTGGGACGAGCCGATCTGTGGAGTTGGCGTCTGTGCAGGAGGAGGAGCCTGCGGCCGCACTGGCGCCACTTTGGCCCATGATCAATGATTCTATGAGCCTACAATTCTCACTTCAGTCCGTAAAAACTTTTTCTGGTAGTATCTTCATCCACAGAGAAGAGGAAACTTTTCAAACCAAAACTTCCTCTGGAAACAAGAAATAACCTCCGCGAATAGCTGCTCAATTCGGTTGTAAAAAATTTGTATACTGTGTGTAGACACTTGAGAGCCGCGTCGATGAAGCCGAAATCGCTGCAAAATTCGGTTCCAAGATCGGTGCTCCGGTTGAATTTTTTTTTGGTCAGTCTTCGAACCAGTTTGCGTCCCATCGCTGGTCCCTTGGTTTCTCCATTGGTGCTGGCCACAATAAAGGCCTTTTGGGCTTGTAAAATCGTTTGGGAAAGGTCTTTTGTGGCAAGGCAATCCCGCCGGCCGTAGAATCAGTAGAGTTCAGTCGCTTGCCCGATTAGGCAAGAGTTTCTTGCCGCCCATGGCACTCAGGCACGGGGATCTGAAGCGGAGCCACGCATGCCAGCAACCAGCAGTGCCTGCAGCTTTGCAGGTCCAGAAGATGCTCGACAAGTTTGAGCCAGACGGAAAACTTCGGGAAGGAGGGCCCACTGGCATGCTGAAACAGCCACGTATGAGAGTCGCTGGAAGGCGAGTCGGTTCCGGCCAGTGCCTACAACGCAAGGGGCCCATCTGGTCAAAGTCCAGTGGCATCTCATCTCGGAGCTTCACTGTGTGTCGGCCTTACATGTGCGCATTATGGCCCATTCCTTACAAGGACTTCTACAAGTGGACCATGCTGCCAGTTACCCGAGCAGTGGAGCGAGGAGCAGGCAAGAAGCGGTGGCCAAGTATCAATGTTGATGCTTTCTGGACGTTGCTGGTTGTGATGTTTTGCTGTATTTGTACAACCTGTGGCATGCTTGAATCCGTGTTGCAATGAGGGCGAAGCAACCGCGGCGCATCTGTCCTTCTACTGCCATTGCCACTGTGCTGTAAGGAATAGTCATTGATTGGTCATCATGATGCTACCCGAACGCATGGTGCCAATCGTACAAACGGCATTACCCTTCCCCACTGCTACAGCTGCGACGATTACACCGACGAGTGCAAGGGCTGCCACTGATGCTGCGCGAAATCCTGCCTTGAGTAGCAGCAAAACCGCATTGCTTTCGACCTGCATTGCCTTTGGCATTGTCATAGTCTGCATGGCGTTAGTCAAACTAGCCACTTCGCCCTTTGCCATCTTTCCGACCCTGCCTGTTCCGGCAATTCACCCCCCCAATTTCTGGCCATTGTGTGTGGATGACTGGGGGTAGGCAGCATGCATCCCTAATCCCTAATCCACTTGACTGCAGATTTCTGCCGCCACTGCCCTTGAAAACTTGCGTCTGCTTCCTGTTGCTACCGCATTTGTTTTTTTGAGTTTCACTTGTGCGGCAGGAGCTGTGCAGTGCACATTCTCCGCCAACATCCGAGACGCAGGGCTCAGCAAAGCTCTAGTGGAAGCGGCCAGGCAGGAGCAAAGACGGAGCAGTGGTTTCTTCTTCTGGATGATGTTCAGTCTGCGCGGGTCAGCTTGAAATCTGTCAACAGTTACTCACGCAGCATCCTTTCAACACACTATATCCTGGTAGAATCTCCCCGGAGTGCGCGGTAACTTTCGGCAGCCTTGCAGCGCAGAGCCCGGAAAAAGACCCGGAACATCATAGCAGCGAATATTTCTAAACAGCTTGACAATCTTTGCTTCAACGATATTGTCCAATCATAGTTATTAACGTATCTGACCACAACAGGCATTCAATTTATCGCACTTCCCGACTTGAGCCCCGGAAGGCAGGACCCGCCGGGTCCGCTTTTCGACTGCCTCAAGTGCGGGGCCACGGCTAAGGGGCGAGGGCGTGCACGGCTTCATGATGCTGATACGGGGAATGATGATATCGATGGCGACGACGGCAAGCAGGATTTTGAGGACAATCGCCATGATCATGATTTTTCGTGCACGTAGACAGGATGGGGATGTTGTTGCTGGTGCCAGTGCTGCTGCTGCCGTTCCTGCTGCGCCAGAGGAGACGGAGGAGGACTTTGATGACGATCCGATGATGAGGCTGATGATGATGGTGGTGATTGTGATGAATATGATGATGTTAATGGCTTGCCATGGTGGAAGTGACAGTGATGCTTACCTGAGGACGCTGACAAAGGTGCCTTGACCGCTTCTACCATCACTAATTACTGACACCAGCGTGCCATTGTACAAATGACAACCTAGAACAACGACGACGACAACGACGCAAGCAGCAGCTGCAGCAGGTTTCAAAGTGAGCACGTCGAGTCAAAAAGCAAAAGACTTTCAACAACACATGAATCGAAGCGAGCGAGCAAAGTTCACAAGCAAGCAAGTGAACGGACAAGGCAGCACACGATAACGGTTGCGACAGCAGCAGCAGCAGCAGCAGCGGCAAAATCCGTAAGCATCAACAAACAGACGCCACAACCACAGCCAACAACAAACAACACGATCTACACAAGCATGGACAACATAGCCAACGCCACTGGAAAGGCAACGACCAGCAGCATCTGCAGAGTCCGAACGCTAGTGGCCGCGAAGCTCAACATGAAAAACTAAAGCGACAGATCCTTAATTTCTCAAACTTCGTTGATCCCCAGGTCCGGTCTCCAGGAGCTGGCATCTCGGCCCTTTGATGTGGCAATCTTCGACCGCTGCCGAAAAGATTCGGCCCTTCCGGGCTGGGCCGCTTGGCTGAGTTTTTGTTTGAATAGGAAAGTGCTCGATTAATCAGGGTACTATAATAAAGCTATAAGGGTCTGGTGTAGGGGACTTCATAATGAGAAAGGGTTTTGGGTGTACTGTATATCAGTCGAGGTTGTAACGACTTGTCTCTCTTCTTCTCAGAGCTAAGTGGCCTACTAACGTTGATGGCCATCACTGAAGCTGTTGATTGGGTGGGGATATGGGCAGGAATAGGCAGAGAAAGAAGAGGTTGGTGGTGTTCCCCATCGCCTGATAGGGTCTGATCATAATACTGAGCTGTCCTAAGCATGTGGGAGTTTCCAAAAATTAGGGTACCTTATTCTGGGGGTCCTTATAATAAGGATCCTACTATTTAGGGTACTATATTAGGGTCCCCTATTTTTGGAAACCCCCATGTATACACGGAGGGAGCCCGACGGAAAAAGCAATCATGGCTTCCTGTGGTTCTCCGTTCTTCCAAGCGAAGGACGACGAGACGCTCGCTGCCGTTTGCGGCACGGCTGAGTGTCCTAGAACACTGGCGCAGGACCTGCCGGTTCCATGGATTCCGTTTCGTCCAACATTGGATATATGTGGTAGCGACAGAAGTGGTGTCACAAGGTTTCAAGATTTCATGAGTTACAAGTCCGAAACCCCCCAAACGCTCAGAAATGGCGTCTCGAAGGAGGTAGACGTCGACCCCAAAGGCGCCACGCGGTTTGCTCGCTTTCTGCAGATCCCGGATCCAGGGCGCGAAGTTGCAGACACAGCCACATGCGACATGAGGTGTCTGGCCGCAGTCGAAGAGGCTGTGTGTCGCAGAAGCCTGTGCTGGGAGAGGTGCTCGACGGTTACCCGCGGATGCCAACAACGTGCTGTTGCAGGCTCGGCCCAGTTCAAACTCCGTTTGCAAAACGGGAGTGAGAATTTATGACCTCATGGTCGTCCTGAGGCATTTGTGGGGCACGACATCAAGTCTGGCAGTGATCGCGTCTATGTTGAAGCCACAGGCACTGGTCAGATCTATTTCGGTGTAGCAGGGGGGTGGTTGTAGTTGCCACAGCGGTGTGTTCATTCATGTTACGCTGTTGATGACAGGTCCCTGGCACAGGGTTACGTGGCTGGAGACCAGTCTCGTGCTTACAACCCAGACCTCCATGTGGGGGCTTCGAAACATCAAGCAATAGTACTTCTGCCGTAGCACTGGGCTGGGAAGGGGTCTGACTCCCTTGCTGTGCCAGCAATGACTTCACGACAAGCGAATGATGTGCGGCCGAGGCATGATGCAAGTGATCCCAGGCTGCAACTGGTTGGTGTTCTCGAGAGGTTACACACCGCGTGTCGACTCCAGCCGACGTTGTCCAGCCCAGGATCTACGAAACGTTCTTCCGACTACGGATGCGTGAGAGGCCGGGAAGCCGGCTTGGGAAACCTCGGGGAGCCCAGACTTCCCAAGCTTCCTCTCTCTCCCAGGTACGGCTCAGAGGACAGCAGTTGGTATGCTCGGTGGTTGGCCGAAGCATTCATTCGCTCTGCGAGGTGGGCCTTCGAGGGGAGCGGGGCTTCCTTCTCGCGCTTCTTGTGTCGTCGTGAGCAGGCAGCCACAGCGGTAGCGATAGCAGCTGCAGTAGCCGTCGCCGTCGCAGTAGTAGCAGCAGCAGCAGCAGCAATAGCAGTTTACGAACGAAGTTCAACACAAGAGCAAGGCAAGCCCGGAGTAGGCTCACAAGGCTGCCACCGTCCCAGGAACAGTCACTGCGCGATTTGCGTTTGCAGAAGTCCTGCCAGCTCTTCAACCAGAATAAGGATCCTACTGTTCAGAGTAATACCCTACAACGGAAACCCCCCTACAAAATCTTTGAAGCCCAAAATCCTCAAGGGTTCGCAGATGCGAATCGGCCATGAAGGAGCGTCCTCGCCGCCAAGGCCTCCAAAATGAGAGGTGTAATCATGACAGGCCTGCCCCGGCCCTGTCTCGATCAACTTGTGAGTGGGACTGTGATGTTTTGGAGCTTATGAGCATAATCATGATGCTTACAGTAACATCAACAATAGTTAATCAGCTAATGAACATAGAAGATGGTCATGATTAGTATGGATATTACAATAGCTACTGAGCGGGATATTAACTTTATAGAAATAGCTGTGAGAAATCATCGTCGTAGTAACAGTACGATTGAGGAATCCAACAATAATTGAGCAATATTGCTAGCAAGGTTGTCTTAGTAGTCTTTCCAAGACTGACCATCATTGTCGTGGCAACTGTACTGGACATCGCCAATAGTAGTCACAATAACCTGCAGAGCGATGTGGCGATGTGTGTATTTACATCCAGAACAACGAGTTAGAGTAGCAGCGATAACCGTGCTTCAGGTTGTAGTCTGCACCGCGGGTCATCGTGTTGCGGCAGCTGTGATGGAAATACGCCTGAAGCAAGTACTACATGCAGGATGGAAGGGGCCCGGGTCACTTGTTGGGTCGTGAAACTCCCATGTCGTGAACTCGAGCCTTACAGATGTCCCACAAGTGCCAAGTTCAAAGCTTACGAAGCCATCCAGCCCTAGTCTTGAAATTGATATCATCTTACGCCCAGGGCTTAAACCGGGCGTTAGAGTTTCGGATAAGCCTCAGGCTGGTTAAGCCTTCCAACATTGATCCGAGTTCCTGAACCTACGAAGTGCAAGCACCGAACTCCGCACCTGAAATCCGGGATGCCGCGAAGGAAGACGGACTGGTGGGCTGGCTCTCATGATGCTGCAGGGGATGCTCCCTGGCACAAGGAATGTAGCGCCCTGCTGACTGAACACAACCCCCGCTCCCTTCGTAAGCAGTCGAGATTCTTACGTTAAGGCTGTTCACAGTTTTCTGTCACCTGCCTACGTCAGTCAGTAGACTGCTTGCATCGGCTTTTGTGATCGGTGTCCTTGCAATGCATGTTAATGCCTGTTAAGCATGTTTGCCTGCTTCCTGTTTGCTTCATGTGGATCGGCGGTGAAGGTGTCGATGATCGACGCTTTTCGTTTAGTGGCGCTGAAAGCCCTCTGCAATGTATTAGGAAGGCGGACACGACGAACTAAGGTCACTAATAGAATAAGCAATACTTTGCTGACAATGTGCTTGGGTGAACGAAACAACTGCCAAGGTACCGACAAGAAACCTTGGACAGGGGGAAACATCAGACATGATATAACTTATATAACATAAGTGTGGTTCTTCCCCGCCCTCCGCTGAAGGTTCATTCAGAGTACTTTCCGTGATGCGGAAGGTGGGCGAAGCGAACTGTGAGACGCAAGTACTTTCACATTGCTATTCATATAACCCATTTGCCGCCAATGCTCCTCAGTGTTTTGCGCAATCGAATCTAGCTGCCTATCTAGACGTTTGCAGATGCCTTGTCTCCACGTGCTGGCAGGAAAACCGCTGTGTCTAGGAACTTCCTCCGTCACGGTGCACTACTGGCTGAAAGACGCCGGCGTCCGATGCTTACAGGGTGACGGTACCTAGCAATTATTCTGCAGAATGCTTGGAGCTTCGTGGCAGCTGCTTCCTGCAATGGAAAACGATGTGCCGGCAAACTCTCAGAAACCCGCTGCTAGTGCGAAAGACGTGAGTCCACAGGTGCCGCCAGAGCTATTGCCCGTCGCAGCCGGTACCCATGCCCACGAGCTCTCTATGGTGACAGCCCCAGTTGGACAATGTGAGACCGTAGTGAAGGATATTTCTAGCACAAATGCTCTTCAGCGGAACAGGAAGCAGTCAAGAACGGCGTGAAAGCAGATGTGCAAGGCAAACTTTCAGAAAGGAGCTGTTGTGTTTCTGCCGAAGCAGGGCATGTTCTTCTCAGAGAAGGGCAAATCACCTAGTGATAAGTGGTTGGGAGAATGATGATGGAGCAGCAATCTGGATGACAACAAGCACAGTGGTGGCAGTGGCCAGGTGCTACTGATAGTGCTTGTCGTATGTAGTAGTTGTTAGTCGTCGTTGTTGTGGGAGTTTGAATTCACGGAGTGGTGTGAGAAACAAGTGCGAGCATCAGGCGTCGCTCAACGTGATCTTGACAGTCAATTTCACGCAGCCGCAGCCACTCCCCTGACCCCCCTGTTTACAATGTTATTTGGATTTTGTGCCTCTGGAGGCCATGGGTTCTGAGACTGCAAACGACGAAACACCTGCGATTCGCCGAGTGATCTCTCAGAAGCTGGCATGTTGGGCCGACACGAGGCTGCCCCATTGGGATCACGTCACCGCTAAACTCCAGAATGAGGACTTTTTCGGCACCGGCTTGCAAGCCGATGTCTGTTTCCTTCGAGAAGATGCCTCTGCCTCGGCTGGGGAGCTCAAGCTTGTGAGTGTGGAGAAGATGTCTGGTGTGGTGGAATCGCTGAGCGTGCCACCACCTTACACGGTGGCCAAGATCAAGCAACAGATAGAGCTGAAGCATGGAACGCCAACCTTCCTACAGAGGATCATTTCAGGCACCGCAGAACTCGCCGATGACATGGTGCCTGGAGACGTGGTGATGCTGCTGAACCAGGAGCCTCCGCGAGTCTCCACCGCGGAGTTTGCCTACAAAGTCTGCACGTGCAAGAGCCTGCACGAGTGGCGGAGCATGACCGGACCCTTAGGGACCCTTGGGTCCGTCCTCTATCGCTGGTACAGTTTCTCTAACAGAGGGGAGTGGCCCGACACTTCCGAGCAATTGCTGGCCTGGCTCGCTAGCAGGGACATGCGAAACGTGCCTCTGACGAAGGAGAACCTCATGGAAGTCTCCCGGATTTGTTGAACAGTCTTCCCCGTATAAGATTGACATCATGACAATCATGGTTGATAAAAACTGATCTGTAGGATTTGCATATTGTTCCCACTTTCGCAAGTCCGTTAGCAAATCCGTCAGGTCTTCGACCAATGGCTCAGCAGAAACTGCAGCGCAGGCAAATCTCCAGAAAGTTTCCTGGTACATGTCGATCGGCTGGTGCAGCTGATGGAAGCTTGCTGCTACAGCCCTGGCTTGCTGGTAAGCAAGGGGCCGTTTCAGACTGAACTATTCACATTTCAGGTCTTCTTCTTTGCAGGCCGTCTCCGAAGTGAGCCGGCCACTCTGGTTGTGCAGAGCCATATTCTGCTTAGGCCGGATTGACTCTCGGGCTGTCGAGAAGGTATGGGTCCAAAGCAAGCAGGACCATGGTGAACTGAGACCGATCGTTGTTGATGGTTCTATCGTCCTTGTGACGGGGTATCATTTTGACATTTGACCCAGGTCTAGATGGATCCGTGAGTTCTCTGTCAAAGATACCCTGGCCATTTGGATCCATCTGCTTGTGTCCCTCGAAGCCTGGTCGCTTCAAAAGATGGCGTCGCTCATGAGCAGGGTCCCTGTTACAGCATAATGCTTCTCTACATAGGCAGGGCATAACGTCGCAAATCAGAACATTCCTCTGCGTAGGCAAGACGTCGGCCAGATGTTGAGATCTTGAAAATCTCCCGACAACATGTTCAGCCGACACCACATTCGCCCTACATTCAGAAGTAACTCCGAGCCCAAACTTGTTAAACCCATATCTCTAGTGTAAGGGCCTTAAGAATTAGAATGGGGTTTTAGGGCATCTTTTACTATACTTATATAATCAGGAGCCACCAAAATAGTATTGGTAAGCTTCCACGCATCTTCGGGCTATCGCGGCTCTGGCCCTGGTTCAGGTCTGCTCGGCTGTGCTGTCAGATGTTGATGATGCAGCAGGCGGCGTGGTTGGTCCGAAGATCCCATAGCCACAGACATCTGACAGCCGATATATCTTAGTCGGTACAGTGCGAGCTTCTGAGAGGAACTCGGCGAAAGCTAGACTGAGAGTCTGCTTGCGCTTCGTCTTCTGATTGTGAAAGTCGCAGTTGATGAGGCCTGCCGATGTCACAGGCCGTGGGGCATGCGCTGTACTTCCTCTGCTCAAGGCAGCTCGAGCAACTGATAGCGCCAGTCTGATGAACCAGTAAGCGTAGTAGTTGCAGTGGTATGGTGGCAGGGCTGAGGTAAGGCCTTGGAGTCCAGGCTTTGTGTTTTAGTGCTGCATGATGGCCGCCCAACTGGCAAGATTCGGCTACCAGACACTCTCAATCGGATCAAGCCCAATCTTTGCATTGACAAGCGAGAGAAGTTCCACGGAAACGGAAGTCACATGGCGATGCGTAGACCCACGGCTCAGGCCAGGAGGCGACGTGCGCGAGGCAGGTCGCAAGGCCTTGATGCCCATGTTGCCGGACACGCTCGGCACAAAGAGCTTCTTCAGGCCGCAGCTCAAAGAGGGGTCTCCGAGTGCACTGCAGACACGGTGTGTGCAAGACTTCTTTGGCCTCGAAAGATAAGCAGGACCGTGTCGCAGCTGAAGGTTCCGGAGGGCCCCCAGAAGGCCACAGTCGTTGCAGATTTTTTGGAGGGAGGTCGAGTTGTGGGTCAGTCTCAGCGACCGTGCTTTGCAGGGTGAGCCCTTCCTGAGCGTCATCGGCACGGCTCGACAGGACTCCGGTACCTTGGAGGCGTGACTGATGTGACAGTGGGGCCTCGGGCGCTGGGAGTTAGTTGAGGCGTGGTAGCTGTGGCTTGACTGCCTGGCAGGGCTTCAGAGATCTCGTCAAAGGGTTTGGCTTCGAGGGCGGACTGATGGCCTCTGCTCCTCGCAGTGCAGATCGATGTCGACTTGCTGACTTCCCGGTCCCCACACAGAAACGCTGTGCTTCTGAGGAAATAGAGGAAGGCCAGAACTTGCTTGACGCGAGCGCACCTCGTCTGCATAATCCCTGTGGCCATCTTCCACATAAATCCCCATGGCACAGAATAGTGTACATGAAATGTGGGCACAGTATGCGTCTGGTCTGGGTGCTTAAGAATGCACAGGCACTGGGGTACGGAACCTTTGGTGCTGGTGGCTTTTTTGGAGACTCCGAGAAGGCAGCCCTGCAGCCAACCATGTGCAAGCTGTGACGGTCGAGTCAACTTCCGATCACATTCGCAGGCCTGGAGCAAGGAGGGTTCCAACATCAGCGCCTTGCCCGCACTCCTTCAGTGCCAGTGAGAGCGAGGGCGTTTGTTTTGAAAGCCATTAAGACTGTCATGACCCAGGTATGGCCATCAAGGTCCTTGTGGTCCATGTGAACGGCCAGCGCACCTCGTTCGATCCTGTCAAGACAGGAGATCCCAGCAAAGGCGCAGACCCGTCACACCTCGCCGAAGAACTGGCCCCTCTTTTGAACCACTTTCGCAGGTGGCGAAGGAAAGTTCGAAGCCGACGGACTCATGGCCGCCGAGAGGCCGGAGAGCCACAGTTCATCTGCCGTTCTCGACCGCCGCTTAAGCTGTGAAAGGTTGGATGCCTTAAAAGCCCGGACCAAGCTCATGCAGGAGGCGGAGGCCTGGCAAGAGGCTTCACAAGCTCCACAGAGCAAGTAGTTAGCGAGTCCTTATAGCAATCATAGTGCCGTTTAAGGTCGCCTTTCTTCGTAACCCTGTTTGCACCCCTTTTGCCCTCTGCAAGGCCAAGCTGCCCGCCGAGGAGCTTCAGAAGCTTTTTGAGGAGACTGTGACTCGCTTCCGGGCCTCGTCGTAGACGGGCCTTGGATCAAACATCCTGTGGCTTGGGGATCGTAGGGGGCCCTAGGGGTTTAGGGATCTCGTAAGGTGCGGATCTTTGAGGTTAAGGGGCTGCAGAGCAAGGCATCGTGAGCGCTCCTCAGAAGCTTCGGGGCTGAAGATAATGAAGGGAATCGCTTTATTTCGGCCTTCGGCCGTTCTCACGGCCAGCAAGGCGTTCGAGAAAAAAAGATGCGTCTCTACTCGGACTGGGGGCTAGCTCCCCTCACCGCAAAATCCGGAGCGATTGTCGGATTCGCACCAACATTGGAGTCTTACAACATTGGTCAGATTTTTGTATCGAGCCTGGGCCTTGTTGCAGCAAGTTAGCATGTTTGCCGCCCGCGGCTTTTGGCTTCCTGTTTGCACGTGCTTGGTTAAGGCTGGCTGCAAGCAAGACCGAAATAACACCCCCTTGCAGGCGAAGTCTACATGTCTGTTGGAATCTCCTTGCCAACCAACTGCTTCAATCCGTCCATCCTGTATGAATGCGAAGCGCAGCCTTGTAATATAACTGTCTATGATTATCATGTATTTGTTGCTATCATGTTAGTGTGTAAATATCACGTATTACTTATTACAACCATAAATTGACCATAAAGCCAAGCCCATTCATCCACGAGCCGGCCCCGAGCCTTCAGACACGACAGCCTTATCTGCAGAAGATCTTTTGCGGTTGCCATGGCGCTCACCGAGGCACAGCCGCCGTTGAGGAGAGAAGATGCGTCAGATTCCCATACTCCTAACATAGTGTCTGGGGACAACCCTAAGTGCTTTGAAACCCTGAACTTTGCACGAAATCCGTTCTCTGAGACCTTCCGAATGCCGCGCTCGAAATTGCAAGGCTTTCGCCCTGGGTGCCACGCCGCCCGTGGCGCCTGTCAGCAGGTGCCCTCGAGGAGATCTTCTCAGGAGCGTTAGCTTCATTGGCGCACATGCTGTTCCCGTGCCTGGCATTATAACAGTCATGGACAGCCATCATCCACCGTCGTGAGCAAGACTCCGACAACCGAAGTTTTGGGAGAAGCCAGGCAGGATCCCAAGCCTCGAAACGAAGTACATGCAGATGTGGCAATCATCAGTTGCGTGGGGCACACCTGTTTACATCTACATGGTTTGACGATGGGAAGAAACTAGCAATACTGATCCCAAACCGCTAAAATTTAAACTAGTGCCGAGACTGAGGTGCGCACGCGGCGAGACTTCCTTCGGCAGGGCCTCGGGGCCTTGGCACGCCACGCCTGAATCTTCGGAGCGAGGCGCCGGCAAGAGGGGACGGATCTTTTGGGCAGGTCGGGGAGCAGGTCATGGATTCTGCATGACGTCCTAGTGCAGCCTGCGGACCACGGCACTTTCTGCTTAGCGACCTGGCAACGGATCCAGAACCCCAGCCGCTGTGAAGCCATCTGCTAACTCTGTCGCACCAAACAGTCCACAATGTGTCGCTGCAGGGATGCCGCTGGTGCTTGCCGCAGCCACTGCCTTGTTGACAGGCGTCCTGGCGAGGAGGCCAGCCATTCCAAGGCTTTGAGTTCCCAAACAGTTCAGATGTAACCCAGACGGGAAAAGATTGCAGGATGGTGCCGAAAGCTCGTGGCCAGGATGGACCGTGTTTGAAGTGTTTCGGTCTAGAGAGGTGGGCACTTCGGGGGGCATCAGAGGATTTGCTGCTTCGAGTCGGCATATCATATTGGGCATTACGTCTCCCACTTTGCGTTGCTATACACACGACGCACTGAGATGCGGGAAATACATCTGGCTTTGCAGCCTTCAGAGCAGGCTTTCCTACTTGTAATTACGTGGCCCTGAAGCAAACGGCAACTTGCTGAATCCCGACATCGCAACGGAAAGGGGCCCCGGCAAGCTTCGGGACTGCCCTTGTTCTTAGCACGCTCGGACATGGCCCAGACGGACGGCAGACGCCCGGGCGGCCGCAGTGGCGCTGAGAGCCAAGGTCGTGGCCGCTGACGATGGAAGAATTCAACTAGAGGGTCGAGAATGAGAGTGCCTTTGATGATTCTACAAGGATGGCACCAGTGTCCGTATTCGCAGATGAGCCTTTCTTTGAGCTTCGGCGCCGAGGTCACCTTGAACGAGCCGTTGTTCAGCGAGGAGCTGTTCGCAAGCCCGAACTCCCACATGTGCTGGCACCTGGAGCACAAGTCAAGAGGTCCCACCTGTTGACTCGGCCTTCGGATCGCCGTCACCATTGACCACTGCTATTGCATGTATCGAGATTCCCGACTTTGGACGCACTAATACTGTTGCCATCGTGTAGTCAAGACCTTCAGGAGGCCTGGTCAGACGACGTTCCCAGTGAGCTGCGGGTTCAGGCAGGGATGCTGATATGCAGGGGAGGCTGTGGGCAAGAAGCATGCGTGCGACTGATGGTGAGAGTGCTGGTAGCAATGACATTTATGGTAGTGGTAGCAGAAAGGCCGTAGCGATGCTCGCGAAAGCATGGAGACTAGAATGATGACGAGAAATAGCACCAGCAGCAGCAATGACGTTTACAGAACTCTTTGAGTGTTGCTATATATCAGCCACGGATCACCTTTGAAGCTCTAAGTCTCCAAGGCTTTTTCTGTTTTGTCACGAGAGGACCTGGATGTCGGGCAGGAGCTCGCGGGCATCGTCGTGAGAGTTGTGGAGGAGCCGAAACCTCGTAAACCCGGCTGTGCATGCCAGGCACATGGCATTTCTTGCATACATAACACAGGTCCCGGCATTGTATCATGGCAAGTTCAGGCAAAAAGTCGGCTGTTCTGATTGTACAGCAGGAGAGTCAGCGCGACACAGCACTGAGGCTCGGATGCTTCGTGGATGTGGGTGCCGACAGACAGGGGCCGGGGACTCGATTTGATTCCGGAGGCTTACGGGTTGCAAGGAGTGGATGATAGTGGATGGTTGTGGCGGTTGCAATGCCCGCGTCCAAGGCTTGTTCATCGGTCCAAGATCTCGAAGAGCTATGTCCCTGTGCTTTCAGATGCAACTTGGCTTTCAGTATGAGCGGCCTAAAAGTGAGTAAGACTGTTCCTTTGAGGATACTGAACGGATTGCAGCATTATACCCCAAAACCCCATGTTAACCATTACGGCCACTACGGCCCCTATATCACTCATTCCGGTCTTGGCCCAGGTAGTGCAAACTGGCCAGACTGTCAAGGCCATGGACACGAGCCTCCCATGACCCTCTGCTATTTTTTTTTTTGGGGGGGGG